GGTACTCGGTTGCACTTCAGTACAACTTTTCATCCGCATACCGATGGTCAGAGCGAGCGGACTATCTAGACCTTGGAGGACATGCTTCGGGCATGTGTACTGGATTTTGGTGGTAGCTGGGATACATATCTCCCATTGGCTGAGTTTTCTTACAAAAACAGCTACCACACCAGTATTGATCGACCTCCTTTTGAGATGCTTTACAGGAGGAAGTGTCGGACCCCTATTTATTGGGGTGAGGTCGGTCAGTGAGTCATAGGTAGCATAGAGGTGGTGCTCCGGACTATCGAGTTGATTCAACAGGTGCACGAGAGATTGCAGACCGCACAGAGCCGTCAGAAAAGTTACGCGGATAGACATCGTTCATATTTGGAGTTTCAGGTTGGGGATATGGTACTCCTGAAGATGTCACATTGGAAACGTGTCATCCGGTTCAGGAAATGGGGCAAGCTGGAAAACCGAGATATATCAGTCCTTTTAGGGTTGTTACCCGGGTGGGTATGGATGCTTATCGTTTAGAGCTACCCGAGGAGCTTAGTCAGATTCACAACACTTTCAACGTCTCTCAGCTGCATAAGTGTTTGGTTGATGATTATGCAGTGGTTCATTTGGAGGATATTTAGTTGGATGAGCGCCTGAATTACATAGATAGACCGATTGCAATCCTAGATAAGAAGACGAAGACTTTACGAAACAAGGTTTTGGGTCTAGTGAAGGTGCAGTGGAAACACCATAAAGGTTCAGAATAAACATGGGAGCCTGAGGAGTAGATGAGAGAGCACTACCCAGAGTTGTTTGCGGAGGCGGACTTCAAGGACGAAGTCTGATTCAAGTGGGGGAGAATTATAACGCTTGGTTCCCGGGGAAAATCATTAAAAACCTAAATGTTTATTTTTGTGCATTGTATATTTACACTAAGCGTAAATAAGGTACGCTAGGCGTACCTTGTGAGCCTTGGACACGGGGTTAACCCTCCTGGTACATTGGGCGTACCAAGAGTACACTGTGCATACTCGAGCCCGAGACAAACCCTAATTTTTAGGGTTTAGACCCTATTGAAACACCATTATAACCCCAAGACCTCTTCTATGACCAACCTCCTTCATCCCAAAGCAACCTCCATGAAACCCTAACCCCCTTTTTAGATAACATTGAATCTTGTGTGTGTTTTGGTGTGTGTTGGGTACATCTTGAAGAAGAAGAACTCTTTGGAGGAGGATTAGTTTGCTTGGAGCTTGAAGATCTAGAACATTCTTCTATTGGATTAGGTCTCTAAGCCCATAACTATAATTGGTATACACTTGAATTGATAGTAGCACAGTCTTTTTGGGTTGCCCTCAAGACTAACAACTAGACAGGATAATTTTTGGAGAGAGAGGTTGGTTTATTATTTGATTAATAAATTGAAATAAATAATTTGTTAATATATTATGAGAATAATATATTAATTAGAAATAGTATTATTTAATTAATATTTAATCATAAATTAATTAGAATTAATTTTGGGATTAAAAGAATTAATTAAAAGTGCAGAGGCTGAAGTGAAATTGTTCAATAGTTTAGCAAGAGGCAATCCATAACCCTCCATTAGGCATGGAAGGTTTCTTAAAGCCTAAGGGATTCTAGAATTATCCTTGGTGGATAATCAGGAAAGTGGATAATTACCCAGTTTAAGATAATATTGGATTTGGGCTTATCTAGGGTTTCCTGACTGCACTATATATAAAGCCTCAACCCTTAAATTTTCGGCCACTCATTCTTTTGAAGAGATAGCCGAATTTTCTAGCCTCCCTCCTCTATCTCAATCTTCTTCCTTTTCTAGTAATGGGTGTGAACCACTAGAGGCGTGACATTTGTGACACTTGCTCTCAAGGCTTCAACAACACAAGGATTTTTATTGTTATTACTAGATAGCAATCAAGGCATGATTCTCCTAACCCTATTTGTATTTTCAAATATATATTAGTGTTCTAGGGTTTCTATTTTGTTGTTCAAAGTTGTATGTTCAATTAGAGAAAACATAGATCAAGTATTAGGGTTGCATGCACACATAGGAATTATATGTTTTGCATAATATCCAACATCTTCACCTTTGCAAGCTTTTGGAGGTATAAAGCTTCAAACTTTATGACTCCTTAGCTTAGATCTAGATTTGGGATTATGTTTGGTATGATTTTGGTCCTTTAGTTTGGTTCTCGTGAGTAGAAGTTACTCCATAACTTGTGTTGGTCATTCCTTGATAATTCTGGAGTTGTAGAATCATAAAAATGACATCTTTATGGGTTAAGCACAACCATGCATGATTTAATGGTCTTAATATGAAGATAAAGTGTTAGAAATGCATGTTGGGCCTCATTGATCCATGCAAAGGCATCAAGTTAATGACTTTATCATTTAGGATGTTTCCCAAGAACTAGATTTGTGATTCGGACGTTTGGACTTAAGGCATTAAGTGCTTAATGGAGTTTTGGCAATCAGGGGCGTACGCTGGGCGTACATAGGCGTACGCTCAGGGTAACACGTTGTAGTCCCGTTTCCTTTGTTGTGAGAACTTGTACGCTGGGCGTAAATAGGTGGTATGTCGGGAGTACTCACCAGATAGCCTTTTGGGCCTTAGGTCTTTTGGGCCATTCTTGGGCCTTAGGTCTTTTGGGCCATGGCTCGTTGGGCCGAGAGTATGAAGGGTAAAAGGGTCTTTTACCTTTTTGTAATAGGGATTATGTTTTGGACTTTCATTTATTATCCTAAATAGTGATTAGGGTTGGTTTGATTGTGTTCAGTGTGAGGAGTTGTGGTAGTAGCAACCAGGGAGTGTGATTTGTGCATCTTCAGATTGAGGTGAGTTTCCTCACTGTATTTTTGGGTCTAAGTCACCAATGGCGGCTCATTGGAGTATGTTGTAGAATGGTAGTGATCTTCGTGACACTTATTGATATGCATGTATGTGCTTGTTGTCTTTGTGACTGTTGCTAGTATGAATATATGTTTAGCTGTAGGGGTGAAATATACTTGTACCGGTTGAAAGATACCAAAGGTATCGGAAGGGACTCAGCGAGTCGGAAGGGACTCAACGAGTCGAAAGGGACTCAGGGAGTAGGAAGGGACTCAGAGAGTCAGAAGGAACTCAGGGGGTGAAATAAACCCGTTGTATGCCATGTATGATAAGTATGTATGTTGTATGGTATATGGTATTTGAGGGACTGACTAAGCTTTGTGCTTACGATTTTAGTTTATGTTTCATATACTTCTGGTTCGAAAAGGAAGGTTCTGGCCTGATCGCAATGCATCCACCCATGTTTCCGTAATTTTTATTATTTTGGAATTTGTACTCTGATAGCTATTTTTACACTGGCTTACTTTTATGGTTGTTTGAGATATTTGATGAATCTTGGTTGATTTAAAAATGAAATTTTTACTTATGATTCTTGGGTTGTTACAGTATCGTGTTTGACGGGAGAGGTTTAGGGGGGATGAGAGTCAATAGCGTTAGGGTGTAACTTTTTTTTTAATTTCTTGCCTTTATTTTTAGGTTAAAAGACTAAAATACCCCATACATGTGGGCCACTTAACAGAATAACAAATGGCTAACAGTATTACGGACGAAACACGTAACTTTTATACATATAAGGGATGGTCCGAGTTAATGATTGAAAATATGGACTAAACGTGCGTTTTTACAAATGCACGAGAGATGATTCGTGTAATTTACTCTAAGAAAAATACTTCAAAGTTTATAATTTTTTGGCTAATTCTATAAGTACCTCTTAATTATTTGTTGTACCCAAGGTTCTAAAAAGCTCGCAATGACTCCAAGGCTTGTACTTGCCGCCAAGCTTTGACAAATTGCTGCCTTAAGTCATATATGTATATATAAAAATGAATAATAGCTGAAAATAAATATAAAATTATCAATTATACACAAAATTGTCGTCTTAAGTCACGTCTTACAAACGACGTGGCTCACAAAGACTCGTAAAAACCTGAGGATTGACATTACCGACAAGTCACGTCTTACGTTATTTAGAACCTTGGTTGTACCCCATGTGTGAGTAAATGAGTGTTTGTATTACCTTGTTTGACTTTTTTTATATGAGTGAGGGGTACATATAATGACACATTTTTTCTTTACAAGTAGAACCAATATTATGACATAATTTGCAAACTTTTAAGTTGTTGAATAATTGTAAAAATAATAGCAATAGAATATTAATTTTACTTTTGTTTTCTCTTTAAATTAAAAATCGTGTATTTGTTTTAATCTTAAGAATATTATAAAAAAATATTTATAATAAAAAGTTGGATTAAATGCGGCTTCTATTCTTAGAGTTAATTTCCATAAATCTAGAGTTTTTGGGATTGGTGCCACTCCTCAAGAAACATCGAATTGGGCTAGTATTCTGGGCTGTGAGGCTGGTACATTCCCATTTAATTATACCGGGGTACCGATCAAAGCCAATATGAACCGGAAAAAAAATTGGCTGCCCATCATTAACAAATTTCAATCTAAACTTTCTTCTTGGAAAGCTAGATCGCTATCTTTCGGTGACAGATTTACCCTTGTGAAATCCGTACTTGGGAACCTACCTACTTATTTCCTCTCTATTTTCTTGGCGCCGAAGGGAGTGGTGGAGAAACCTGAGTCCATCCGTAGAAGGTTCCTATGGGGAGATAATGATGGAAAAAGCAAGATCAATTGGGTTTCATGGGATAAGGTTATCACTTCTAAGGAGAATGGAGGACTAGGAGTAGGATCAATTAGAGCTCTTAACTTGGGTCTCATTGTCAAGTGGTGCTGGAGAATAAAACGCGAATCTACATCTTTATGGGGACATGTGATACGTAGCATACACAAACTCGACGGTAAACCTGATGGGCACTTATCAAATAAGTACATAGTTGGAGTCTAGAATAACATCGCAAGTTCAAACAAATAAATTCAAAAATCAGGTTTGATTTGGTCCGATATCTTTAAACATGTGGTAAAATCAGGTGAGAACACAATGTTCTGGCTTGATGCGTGGAAGGGAGATGGGATTTTGAAAGATAGATATCCCCAGTTGTATGACCTTGACACTGACAAGAGGTGTACAGTTATGCAGAAAATTAATGGAAACTCTATCTTGTGGAGATCATGTCCGTTAGCAAGGGGACTAGAAAGCGATTTAGGGTCACTATACAACGATATTTCCCACACAAGACTCACGTCCGGAGTCGATCAACTGCATTGCCATCTTATGGCAGATGGAACTTACACGGTGGAGTGCCTTAGAAACATGATTGACCACAATCCACTTCCATTGTCCTGTCCACTTGTTAGATGGTGTAAAGAAGCTCCAATAAAAGTCATATGCTTCATTTGGAGGGCAGCTCAAGGGCATATCCCCTCAGCTATGTCACTTGCTCATCGTGGTGTTAGTCTTAGTGAGACCATGTGTGGTTCGTGTGTGGGTGTAGATGAATCAGTATACCATATGCTAGTATCTTGTCATTTTGCACAACATATACGAAATATAATCTTCAAGTGGTGTGGAGTTGGACCAACCCAAATTAATACTGTTCACTAACACTTGGGGTAGTAGCTTGAATAAGAGAAGAAGATTTCAGGTTATATGTTATGGTTTCATCTGGGGAATACGAAAATTCAGGAATGACAGGATATTTTAGGGCATATTCACTACGGAGGGGAGTGGAATACATTAAATCATTGACGTATTTATGGTTCAAATGTAGGGGATCGGATATACCTTGTAACTGGGTGGATTGGTATAATTCTCCATTTTCTTTAATGTAATTTCTTTTTCTTTTCTTTTTATGCTCTTGTACCCTTTTGTTTATTTTCCCTTTTTGCACTTGCTTAGCTTCTTGCTTTGTTTGGGTGCTTTTAATGAAATGGTTGTTTAAAAAAACGGCTTTTAAGACACCGATACAAATAGAATTGGTTTATTTATGCATGAAGACGAGAAAAACAACTAATTTTGTTAACAAAATTAATAATTTATTAAATGCCGATGAATATTGTTATAGAGTATCAACATAATTAAAAAATCACTAAGTTTGTTGGTGTTATATAAACACCAACTCAATGTACCAAAAAGTTTTAAGGGGTGTTTGAGATTGCTTGTTTTTAATAAAATTGTTTATTAGTTTATATGGTGATAAAGTTATATTTCAAAAAACTATATGAATTAATTTGTATGTTAGTAAGAAGTTATAAGTTGAAAATTCATTTAAAAAAAAATTTGAATAAATTTATAGTCACTAAAATGAAAGGAATAATAAATACTTTATAAAAATTAGGATTATGTGACTTTTTTAAAACTTCTAAGTAAAAGGTTGTTCTAAAAACTTTTATATATATATATATATATATATATATATATATATATATATATATATATATATATATATATATATATATATATATATATATAGAAAAGTTCAATAGAGAACCATTATTAATCAAGGAACCAAGGAACCAATCCAAATCGTCGGAATTTAAAGCGAACAACGGCAAAAGGAAGGGTTGTAAAATCTTATAATGGACGCATATGTACCGGATTATAACAAAACCCACTTCTTTTTTTTCATTTAAAATTTTTTTTAGGCCAAGTTTTTTATCGAAAAAAAAAACCGAATATACCCTTGTTCACGATTTTTCGTCCTCTTTCCATAGAGATCCATGATGATATATAAAAACCGAACTTTTTTTTTCTCGAAAAAACTCACTTAATTTTCTTAGTTTTTTCAATATTTAAGTTTATTTTTATCAAAAAAACTAATTATACCAAAAATATTAATTTTTTATACTCTATTAATAAACATCAACACCGATTAAAAAATAAATAAAAAAAAAAAACTCGAACAGTGTAGATTCACACTGTGAATCTAAACTGTAAATATTTCAATTTTTAACATTCACAATATGAAAAATCTCGAACAGTTCAGATTCACATAATGAATCTGAATTACTATTATGCACACTGTGAATCTGAGAATGTTCACAAAAAAAAAAAAAAAAACCTCGATCAGTGTAGATTCACAGTGTGAATCTAAACTATAAATATTTCAAATTTTAACATTGACAATGTGAAAAAGCTCCGATCAGTTCAGATTCACACTGTGAATCTGAGTTATTATTATGCACACTGTGAATCTGAGGAGGTTTACAATATGAATCTGAACAGGTTCACAATGTGAATCTGAACTGAAATATCGTTTTTTTTAACATGAATATGAATCTATGTTTAAAAAGTACAAAAAATATGAATTTTGATATATTTATTAATTTTTTTCTATAAAAAATAGACCTTAACTTTTTTAATCAAAGAAAATGAAGTGGGTTTTTTCCGAAAAAAAAAGTTCGTTTTTTATATATCATCATGGATCTCTATGGAAAGATGACGAAAAATCGTGAACAACGGTATATTCGGTTTTTTTTTTTTTTATAAAAAACATGGCCTAAAAAAAATTTTAAACGAAAAAAAGTGGTGAGTTTTTTTTGTAAATGGTGGATTTTTTGGTATAATCCGGTGTGTGTGCGTCCAATGTAAAAGTGTACATCTATTTCTTTGCCCGTTGATCGTTATGATTTCCGACGCTCACGATTGGTTCCTTGGTTACTTGGTTAATTATGGTTCTCTATTGAACCTCACCCTATATATATATATATATATATATATATATATATATATATATATATATATATATATATATATATATATATATATATATATATATATATATATATATAAGTTTATTGTCTTTTTGACAAAAAGCTAACGAGTAAATAAGAAATCTAAAATGATTTCACAAAACTTATTATTTTCTCATTTCATTTTTTCATTCATTTTTATCTAATAAAATAGCTTTTATTAAATTTATCTTCACTACTTAACATTTTCATTTTTTTTCTTTCTAAACTTAACTAATCATTTTTCTATCTTAAATGTTTTATTAGGCGTCCTTATATAATTTATAATTTTACCAACATGTATTATAACTTTGTGGAATATTTTTTACAAAACCATAAAAGATGATAAAAGTTTTTCACATATGTAGTTATAAAAATATAAAAATGATAAAATATTATATAACCGTCATGTTTTATAACTTTTGATATTTTTAGTTTTGAAAGTTTTGATAGTTAAGATTAAATAATGAAAATATATAAGGTTTAAATATAAGTAGGATATAAATTAAATGTCACTTATATAAATATCATAAAACTTAAAAGAAATTTAAAAGGTCAGAGAATAAAGAGGCGTTTGGGAATACTTTTTAAAATTAATAAGTGTCTTTTAATTTATTAGCTTATTAATTTGTAACGGTATCAAACCGAAGTTTTTAAAAAAATATTTAGATTAGTTTATATAGTGTCAAAATGCTATAAGTTGATAAACATTTTTTAGCGTTTGATAAAATGACAAAAAAAATGCTTGTTAGAGATGTATGACAACTATAACTTATAATGAGTTTTGATAAGTTACTAACTTACTAACAATGATTTAACTTCGATTCCACACCGTTATAAGGTGTTTTTAAAAAGGTATCTATCTAAACACTCATTTTAATTTATATTGTTGTGGAACCGATAATAAATTAAAAAGAAAACTCATTTTTTTAGATTAGCCAAATACCCTCTAAAAAGTATTTGGAGTAATCTTTAAAAAAACCATGTTCTCCAATGATAAAAAGTTTTTAAGAACTTATTTGAATAGTTAAAAGCTTTAGAAATTATAAGAGTTTCTTTTCACGTAACTTACTTATGGTAACTATTTATTTTAACATCTACTATTATATTGTTTTCTATAATTTGGTCTAATTAATTTCCTTGTTTGAATCTATCCGACTGAATTAATTTCCTTCTTTGAATCTATCCGACTGTCAAAGGTCATTTAAGTGACTTAGTCCCTTTACTCCTTATTAAGTCATAAATGTTTACATTCATCTCCTCTACCCTATTTAAACAGGATTCTCGAGGTTGGTCGTTGTAATAAAAAATACGAAACCTAACATAATCAGTGGCGAGTCTACATATTACAAAGGTAGGTCACTTGACCTACCTTATTATTATTATAATTTTATTAATAAGACCTTCCGGTATGGTTGCCAAGAACGAAGTCGTGGTCTAGGTGGCCACGAACCACGACCGTGCACACCATCCCGATGGGTCGTGGTGGGTCGTGGTCATGACCCTTCGTGCTCCGGACAACGAATTGAAACAATGAATGTGAATGGCTGTTGAGTGACGACTATATTTTAGTATTTAAAATGTTTTTCTAGTTTTACCTTTCAAACACGATTAAACATCTTTTATAAATACCACACTTATTCTCTCATTTTACTCACATAATTCTTTTCTGTTCTTCTCACAATCACACACTTGTTTTGCTTGATAAATTCAAAACCAATGGCTCCTAAAAGGATGAACTAGTCAGAAAATGAAAAAGAGAACTTAACACTAGTATGGGTAGCGGCTTCAGAAGACTCAGATGCTATAATGCCTCCTAATTTTAGGGTAAAAGTTGGAAACGTTTTTCATGATTTAATGGGTCGGCGAAGTCGTAGTCTTGATGAAATATGTTCGAAGTTTCGTGATATGAGGGTTAAATGCCTTGAATTCAATGAGATTTATAACTTTGTTATAAACAACGTAGATGGAGACGACCCGTTTGCTGTGGTCATGCACCAATATGAAAACATGAAACACACACCGTTTAAACACGTCAAAGCTTGGCGAAAATTGAGGGAGTGCCCAAAATTTAGTCACTAAAAATAAGGTTAAAAAATTAGTTTAAGTTGTTTGTGGTTGCATTTTTATGTTTTGTTTTTTATTTTATTTTAAGTTGTGTGTTTTAAATTAAAATAATCTTTGTTTCATTGAATAAAAAACTAATTTTAAAAAAAAGTATGTTTTATTGTGTTTTTGAATTAAATTTAATTAAAAAAAATAAGGTGGTGTGGTGTGTTTAGTGGTAGATATCTCATGGTTAGTGGTAGAGAGTGTGGTGATGATGTGATACCAACCACTATAATGGTTAGTGGTGGGTATAATGGATGACCTAAGAGGTATAGAGAAATGAAAACTGTGATCTACCTTAATTATGTTTAGTGAACTATCCTATTGTTTTGGCAAAAGAAAATATGTATAAATCAAGAATTTTAAAGCTTATATTTTATATTTTAATAGCCCAAATACATAATGTATCCAAGGTAGAGGTGAACAAACACTGGTTTTAAGCGAAATACGTTTTTTTTTCTTTTTTTTTTAAAACCGATCCGGTTTTTAACTAGTTCTTTTGAAATTCGTTTCCGTTTTAAAAGGTAGTAATAATAATATAATTGTGAATATATATATATATATATATATATATATATATATATATATATATATATATATATATATATATATATATATATATATATATATATATATATATATGTATCATGAAAAAACAATCAACATGCTACCAACTGAACCGGAAAAATTGGCTACTAATATGTTTAGTAGGTAACATGATTGGTTGGTAGTACTCTACTAATTGATGAATCATGGTATGATAAT